ATGTCCAAACCATGGGGTAGAAAGTTGGGGAGTGTTACAATCTTTCTATAAAGGACTTGACCATACTTCTCAATCTCACCTAGATTTTGCTGCAGAAGGATATTTTTTTACAGGAACACTTGAATCAAGATATGAAATCATAGAAGGGACTGCTGAAAGATGTCTCCAATGGCCAATAGATAGAGTGAGCCCAGTAAGGAAGCCAGACATGCTAGAACTAGATAAACAAACTGCCATGGAAGCCTAGCTGGCATCACTCATAAATGAAGTGAAGAACCTAAAAGCCGACCAAGAAGCACCAAGGATGGAAGTCTTACAACTCATAGCAACTGAAACAGAACCATATTCAGCCTGTGGTGACCTTCATGACTCAACAGACTGCCCATCCACTGCATTGGTGTGTTATGCAGAAAATTTTGGCAATAGGAACTTCACCAGAGACAATCAACAAGCAGGACGAAATACACATTCAAGCCCTGGATGAACTATCATTAAGGATCAGAACCATAACACCCAATGGAGGCTACCCATTAACCAGAGACCATTCAATAACAATCAGCAGCAGTATCAGCAAGGTAGCAGCAGTGGAACGTTTGAACAAAGAAGAAACAACTACGTTCCGTTCCACAGAGATGACCAACGCATCAACACCCTGGAAAATTATGTCAAGGAATATGTCACCAGGAATGATGCAGTGGTCAGGAACATTGAGTCCCATCTGGGGCAAATTGCTGCCAACCTTCAAACCAGAACACCAGGATCACTACTAAGGGACACTGAGGTCCCCTCAACCATTTCTGAAACACCTTGAGAGGTAAGTACCATGTCTAGCTAAAGACATTAAACTAAGCGCTGACTGGGAGGCAACCCAGTAGATACATTTGCTCTCTGACAAAGAGCAAAGTTTTGAGGTGGTTATCCATAACCACATAGCTCCCAAAAAGGAGGGAACGTCTGATGTTCCTCTCCAAAAAGTCCAAATAAAGTACGTTCCGTTCCAGGAACGTAGTTTTGGGGTGGTCCCTGACCACACAATCCCAAAAATATATATATATATATATATATATAGATATAATTATATGTTTTGTTATATGTTCATTTAGATTTATTAAATAATAGGTGATAGGTTAGTACATCCCCTTTTCCTTATTTAGTACTCACTATTGCATATTTTCTTATTATTTATTTCAGTTATTTATTTATTTATTAGTTAGGAAAAGACAAAGGGAACGTTCCCTGGGTTAGGAGATAAGAGTGACTGGGACACCTGTTGTAACATCCCACGTAATTAGGAAAATACACAAAAGACCGTAAGGATAAGAATGCACGTGTGGAAAAATTAAATTTGATATATATATATATATATATATATATATATATGTAATGTTTGTTGGCCTTCGAAATTATTGAGAACTAGCCTAGGATTAAAACTAAGTAGGAGATTATTGAATTATAGTACTAAGAGAGGATTTATTTTAGACTTATGAAGCTTTAATTCTAAGGTATAAGAATGTATAAATCATACCATAAGAAATAAAATATGAATTTTAACTACAAGAATTAAATAGGGCTTTGGAATGCATGATTTTATTGGGTTAACTATTGTGTTAGTATCAAATTGGGCTGGGATACTCTTAATCCCCCACAAATCTGTGTGGGCCGAGTTTTAAGACCCTAGGAGGTACTCATGTAATCAGCCCAATTTCACTTCATTTTGTTCAAATTCTATCTTAGCCTAGTCATCCCACAAGGTCACTCTTTATTGGTTGGCTATCACACATGGCAACCAACTCACACCTCTTATCTCCTTGTACGATGCGCTGTTTTGGGCAGAGGAGCAAGCTGATAACTTGTTTGGGTGGACAATCAAAATTCAGCTTTATGTCAATCTTAGTTAGCCTAATTTCTAACACCACTCAGCCTTAACACCTGCGCCCAATAAGGGAAGGGGAATGCAGTGTGCATGTATTGCCATTGGCTGGAAAATTATGCACTTACCTTCACCCCTTCATGCGCTGAAGTGAGAAGAATGGCTTGGGCAATTGTGGTTTATTTCTTCTTTAAATTGGCACTTAAGACTTCACCCCTCCCATCTCTCATGCGCTGATTTGGTAGGAAAGGAGCTAGATCAAACCTTTAATTTGAGTTTCGGGACACTCAACTGTACCACCCTCTTTCTCTACCACAAAATTACACAACTTTCCTCCTACTTCAACACAAATTAGTTGTCATCACTATCTACTATTTTCATTCCTTCTCACACTTCAAAACCGAAGCATATGTACAGAGGGAACTCAAGAAATTATTTCACTTTTTCCTTGTATCCTAACTGAAAACCGAGGACCTCTTTAGAGTGATACCAAAAATTTAATCACACGTTGTCCCTGCCTTCTTCATTCGACGGTGCACCATTTGTTCCAAGAGGTAACACATTGTTTTGTCTTGTTGTTACTTATGTGTGGCAACCTCTGTCACCTTCTTTAAAGGAGATATTCGTTCATAAACTAACTCAAGTTAATTTCCCTCTCCCTATTGTATCCGCACGACCACTGTTTTAAGAGTGGGGCTGGCTATTTCGTGAATCATTAAGGGCTGAAGTGTTGTCCATTTGGTCTCCTTAGTGCGCTAGTGAAAGGTAAGCACAAAATTTTGAACCTCCATCTCTGTCTTCTGTTCAGGCCGAGAAGCATGTATAGGGAGTGGTTTCTTATGTAATTTATTTTCTCTAGATTCCGCCATAATGAACCCCCAGATCTTAGTTGAAAGCATGAAAGCTTAGAATTAATTTCAGAACTTGGTAATGATCTTAAAGTTAAATGATGGGGCTGTTGATGATGGCTTGGTGTTCCTTTAAATTTTTTTGAAGCAAAATAATTTGGACAGCATGCCTAGGTCCCTTGTAGCGATCCTTGAATGAATTCGTGAGCTTTGGAAGAAATCATCCTTGATGCTTTGTTGAGATGAAATCGATTCTGCCTTGATAAAACTTGTTATAAACTAAGCTTTATTTAACTTATATATGCAGCATGTTGTTTAGTTTCCCTTCACACACTCCATGTGTTGTTAAGCTAAATATTTGAATAAACGTTATGAGCCTTGTATGATGAAACCGATTCTGTTTTGGACCAGCCTTATTGTGTGCTAAACTCCATCTAAGATTATGTAGACAGCAGAATAATAAGCTCCCTTTTTCGCATCTCTGAGTATAGAAATAGGAAATTGTATGAATAAAAATCTTGAGTAACTTCTATGTCAAAATCGATTCTGCCATGCTTAGGAACCTTGAGAAACCCTCACTGTTAAACGTTGGGAAGACTGTTTTGAAAGTCAGAATATTTTAGGAAAATAACATTGTTGGCCGAATGGATACATGAACCTTTAGGCTTGGAGAATTATTGGTAATTAATAGAGAAGGCTGAAACGTATTCTGATTTTGTTGCAATGTATATTAGGTGCGCAAAAGCCGTAAATTTTGGATTATACGCTGCTGTCTGGTACATTTAATTGTGACGTACGAGGTATGTGTAGGCGGTATTACCTTCTGTGACTATTGGCTAGTGTATGGAATTGTGATGTGTTGCTCACATTTGTTCTATGTATGTTACGACGATGATGAGCCAATGGTAAGAATATGAAAGGATACATGCATTTTACATCATAATACATTTTTCTGTTGGGTGCGATTGCATAACATGGCATGTATACTTGATTCATGACATCTTATATATATATATTTGTATTGAGGATATGTGACTGAGCATGCATCATATAGGCATGCCTGGTACCAGGAGAGGGGACACTTGGCTTCAGTCCGCATAGGTTCCACAGTGGGATTCACCTTCATGGGAGCCATTAGGAATACCCACTGTGATGCTACGCGCACGACGGTGCTATGAGCGTAAAGGAAAAAAGGGCGTTATATACGCGTTATGATATATGATGAAAAGGATTAAATGTTTGAAGTGACTATTTATGATTTTGTGCCTAGTTAATACTGTTGCATTTGGTTTTGTTGCCACACTACTGGGTTTATTCTCACCCCTTTGGGGCTGCAATATTTTAAATTGCAGGAGAACGTAAAAGCATTTGAGGACTTGGATGTTGAACTCTGTTATATTTTGTTGCTGTCTGGATTTATTCACTGTTGACTGTTTTAAGCTTGGGATGACTGTATTATGTGGTACTTGATGATTTTTGGATGACTGTAAAACTATGATTTATTTCTGCTTTAAGTTTTCTACGAACAGCGGCTATTTTAAGAAAATCTGAAAATGTTTTGCGAAAAGGAATTATTTTTAATGCTGAATTTTAACAGTTTACGGTCAACTTATGAGTTACGTTTCAAGGGGCGAATGACCTCCGATTTACTATTATTTTATATGCACGCGAAGCCCCAAGCGTCTACATTCAGATTTCGCTAACTGTACAAAAATATTTTGAAAAATCGATTTTATATTAATATTTAAAGGGATACGGTTTTTCTAAAAATTTTCACCATTTTTATCAGCAACACATTTTAAGTTCTTCCCATCAAAAATTTTCTTAGATTCAGCTTTCCACAACAACTTCTCAAAGATCTTTTCTTAGAAAAAGTTTTCATCCGTTTCCACAACTCGAATAACGATTAGCAAACGACTCTCTTGGATGCATATAGGAGAGGGTGTTACACTAATTGGTATCAGAGCAGTTTTGGTTCATGGTGATTGTTTTGCTTGAATTGTCTGTTGCTTGTTTTAATTGATTGATATTAACTGCTGAATGATTTGCTTGTTGTTTGACATATATTCACTACTTGCTATCTGCCGGATGATGGATTACGTTAACTGTTAAATTTAGGTATTAACTGTTGTAATTAGACTGTTAGATCTAGATGGTGATGAGGAATCGATGCATTGTTAACTTACCCGATTTGAACTCGAGTACCTACTTTGAATTTGCTGTCATAGATAACCTGCAGTGAGTCCGATCAGCTCATTTCGTGATATTGTGAGTGCAGAATCATGGCAGGTAATCGCGGTTCCACTCGGGGAAGGACTAACAATGCTGAAGAGGATCTTATCACAACAATTGGGGGATTGGCCACGTTCGTCCAGAACATGAGCCAAGAATGGCAAGAACATCGTCAACAGAACCAGAATCAACCCCCGCTGCAGGACCATGCAGAGGAGATTGCCCGACGGAGGTTGAAGGACTTCCGTAATTTTCAACCACCTATCTTTGAAGGTGGAGACCACCCTGAGGCTGCAGCAAACTGGCTGCAGATGATCGAACATATCTTCGAACGGATGGGATGCCCGGAGGCTCAGAAGCCGGACTATGCCTCCTATCAGTTGACGGGAGAAGCATTGACATGGTGGACTGGCGCGAGAGCTCTGCTGCGAGCTCAAAATACTGAAGTGACCTGGGCTGTGTTCAGGAGGGTATTCTTGGACAAGTACTTTCCAAAAGCAATGCGAAGAATGAAACACACAGAGCTACTGTCTTTGAGGCAAGGAAACATGACTATCAATGAATACATTGCAAAGTTTGCACAACTGATGGAATATGCCAATTTTGACCGTAACATCTATGATGAGGAGTGGCAAGTGGAGAAGTTTGAGAGTGGATTGCATCCCGAGATCAGAAAGCTCATGTTGACCACGGCTATCCGTACTCTGCCCGAAATCATTAATCAGAGTCGGCAGGCAGAAGGCATTATCATGGAAGCAAGAAATTTGAATAGACAACCGGTGCAACAGCAGGGAGGAAACAGAGGGGGCAGATTCTTCAAGAAGAACACGGGAATGAACAAGGGAAAGGGTCCACAGATGCAAGCTCGGAATGGTAATTTCAAGAGAAATAATGCACCCGGTCAGTCATCAGCAGGACGTCAGGGTCCCAGTGCATGTTCTAATTGTGGGAAAAACCATGCTGGAGTCTGTTTACAGGGAAGCAACACATGCTACAGATGTGGTCAACCTGGACATTTCGCTTCTAAATGTCAAAACTATGCAAGTCAGCAACCTACTCAGGCCAGAGTGTTCACCCTCGATGCTAATGAGGCGCAGAAATATCCGAATCTTATTCGAGGTAACATAATCCTTAACGGTTATCCAATTTCTGTTATTTTTGATTCTGGAGCATCTGGTTCGTTTATGGCAAAACATATAGCTATGAAGATAGGTATAACCCCAGCTCCACTCCCCTATGAATTACAAATCAGTACTCCTACGGGGGGATCCTGTACAGCCTCAGAAATTTGCAGAGGCGTTCTTCTGGAGTATGAAGGAAGCATTTATACAATCAACTTAGTGGTTTTGCCGGTATTCAATTTCGAAGTAATTATCGGCATGGACTGGTTGGTGGAGAACATGATCACTTTGGACTGCCAAGCAGGGAAGGTCATTGTTCCTTCGAGAGACGGTAATTTTCTGTCTTTTGCTACTATTTCTTTGTTGCAAGTTCGTAAAGAGCTCCTTCGGGGGGCAACAGGTTATCTCTTGTCAATCGAGGCTGAGACCCTGGTTGAAAATCCAATTCAAAATGTACCAGTGGTGAATGAATTCGAGGAGGTATTCCCCGATGAAATTCCTCGATTACCCCCTCAGCGGGAAGTAGAATTTTCCATTGAGCTTATTCCCGGAGTTGGACCTATTTCCATTGCTCCGTATCGTATGGCACCTTTGGAACTCCGAGAGTTAAAGAAGCAAATAGAAGAACTGCTGGCAAAAGAATTCATAAGACCTAGTACTTCTCCATGGGGTGCACCAGCCATTTTGATAAAGAAAAAGGATGGCAGTCTACGTTTGTGTGTGGACTATCGTCAGCTGAACAAGGTGACTGTAAAGAATAAGTATCCATTGCCGAGGATTGATGATTTGATGGATAAACTCAGAGGTGCCAAAGTGTTCTCCAAAGTAGATCTTCGATCGGGATACCATCAAATCCGGGTCAAACCGGAGGATATTCCGAAAACTGCTTTCCGTACCCGTTATGGGCACTATGAATATCAAGTGATTCCGTTCGGACTCACAAATGCTCCAGCGATATTCATGGACTACATGAACCGCATTTTTCGTCCTTTCCTGGATCAGTTTGTCATAGTGTTCATCGATGACATCCTGATTTATTCTGTCAATGAAGAATTACATGCAGCGCACTTACGGATTGTTTTGCAGATTTTAAAGGAGAAGCAGCTGTATGCAAAGTGGTCTAAGTGTGAGTTCTGGCTCAGTGAAGTTCAATTCTTGGGTCACGTAATTTCTGCTGAGGGTATTGCAGTTGACCCCAGCAAGGTCGAAGCGGTGAGGAATTGGGAACGACCCAGAACTGTCACAGAAATACGAAGTTTCTTGGGACTAGCAGGCTATTACAGAAGATTTATTAAAAATTTCTCACGATTGGTACAGCCTCTCACTCGCCTCACTCGGAAGGATGTGCCTTTTGAGTGGACTGTAGATTGTGAAGAATGTTTTCAGGAGCTGAAGGATAGATTGACTAGTGCTCCAATCCTTACCATTCCTGATCCAACCAGGAAGTTCGAAGTGTACTGTGATGCGTCCTTGAAAGGACTTGGATGTGTACTGATGCAAGATCGCATGGTCGTGGCTTATGCCTCTCGGCAATTGAAGTCTCACGAAGAAAATTATCCTA